TATGACACACCATTTCGAGAATCTGTCTTACAATAGGGCACGGATGTGGATGTGAAATGTGGCGGTGGCTGTACACTGAAAAATTACAGACTGTAATTGTCTTTTTGTGTAACAAAATAAAAATTGTAATCGATGGAAATCTTGAAATGAACGATGATTTTGACTTTAGTGATAAATAATTAATTGTCTATACTCACATCCAAAGCTCACAAACAGAAAAGATATATTCAACAACTCGTGTCAGATTTCTTTAAAAATCTTTAAAAAAATTATAGATTTCCCACATAAAAAAAATAGTAAGAAAAAAAATTTAGTGAATTTTGGCGACTTCTGGTGAATCATCAATCACTGTCATGATTCCTATTTGAAAACATGAACCAATCGAATTTTTACATTCGTGCCTTCATCATGGTTTCCACATTATCCCTTAAACCGTTGGATTCCCTTAAACGGAGCCCACAATCTACAATTCGCATCTGTAAAATGTTCAGTTATTAGCGTTGAGTGTTGCTATTGGGCACGAATTTGCTAATAGTAAATTATTCAAGCTTGTATATTAAAGCTTTATTAAAGTATAAATGTTCAAATATCTCTTGTACTTAGATCGATGATTCCGGCCTCCGGACCCTTCAGGAACCGGTCGGAAACGGTCTAATTTCCGGCCAACGGAAATCGACGGGAAAAACTGGGAACCGCCAGAAACACACCGGAAACTCGCATGGAGCGAACCATTTCCCATCGGAGAAACATGACTACCCGTTCGAAACATCTTTGAAAGATCTATGAAGCATACTTTTCTCACACACCTTAATTTCAAAGTGCCTTGTCCACGTAAGTCGTAACAATCAAAAGAAATGTTTTTCGCAGACATTTCGTAAGGCGGTCCTTTCCTGGAAGCTGTTTTCAGACGACGATTTGAGTTGAAAAAAAAGTGCGTCGAAAATCGGTGCTCAGATACCTTACATTCAATGTATCATTGATTTTGAGATCACAAGGATCTTGACTACCAGCATTTGGTATGGACAACGACGTAGGTGACAGTGAAGGAGGAAACTTGAATCCGCATCCTCCGTACTAAAGCGAATGAAATACCTCACTTAGGTACTTCGAAGGGGCTGGGAAGAGTGCCTGCTGTATGGCACGACATCAACTCTGTCTTTACACATTACGCATAGAGATTGTGAAGTCTTTGAAATCGAATGTAAATCTTCACGGAGAATCAGATTGCAATACCTCACTTAGGTACATCATTGTTTTGGAAGAAGTAATTGCTGTGGAGCAGGAGATTTAGTTGGTCCATTCACATAATATGTTGGTGTGCTATGAGTGGATAGCCTGCATTCCCTAATGCACTTTTCTAGGAGCTGTCGTTTTTGTGATGGCTCAATTATGAGTTGCTCTTCGAGGTGAGGGTAACCTATCGATCGAAGGTGCCTGTCAGGGACGTTGTTCCGGTGGTTACTGTCACGGTCAGTTCTGTCGAATGTTGGAGTTCTCATGGGAAGAACGAGGTCTTTTATGGTTGTTGGTTTATCGCTGCGCGAAACGGGAGACAGAAGGTAATTGGACGAACGGAGTTATGGGTAGCAGCGAAACGAGGGCTACATGTTGTGTGGCCGGAATAGTTGAATCGAGGTTATGTTGGCGATGGCAGAAATGGTTTTATTGGGCGAAGTGATTGTGAGTGTTTTTGAAGAATCCTAGAAATCATTGAAATTTCGAAAGTACCATGTTAATTTAGTGAGCCTTGCAGCTTATGCTTATGCTTGTGGAAATCTGTAGTGATCGAATATTTTTAAAATGAAATTATCTATGCTCGGAATGTTCTACTCTCTGATGAAGTCCGAATTCTGCGGTTCACGGTATTTGCAGTTGAATTATCAGGTTTCCTGAATAGTTACACGCAGAAGACGCCATTACCTTTCAATTCGAATAAGAGTGTCTCGGACGGCAGTATGAGGGTGTCACTGCTGGTTGGGGGTAGATATGGCTGCGTCTCGATGTGATTGTGAATGTTCGTGTGCTTGTAGATAAACTTGCATACACCTACATGCGCACCAGGGTACTCACATCCTGTTCTTTGATAGATCTTAGAGATGTGTTTGAAAGATCTTTTAAGGCTTCAGAAAGTGTCGGAAACATCTTCTCCAGTCTTCGAAAGGTCTTTGAAAGATTTTACAAACTCTCATAAAGACGCTTAAAAGATCTTTTTAAGTCTCAGAACGTCACAGAAAGGAGTTTCGAAGATCATTTAAAGTCTTCGAAAGGTCTCTGAAGCATCTATCCAAGTCTCACAAAGTCTCTCAAAGATGTTTGAAGGTCGTTGAAAGATCTTTGGAAATATGTGAAGGATGTTTGAAAGTGGTAGAAAGATCATTGAAAGTATTTGAAAGGTCTTTCGAAGTATGTGAAAGATGTTTGATAGTTGCTGAACGATCGTTGAAATTCTTCGAGAGATCTTTGGGAGATTTTCAAAGGGCTTGAAAGATCTTTGAGATGTCTTTCAAAGATCTTTGAAACGCCGGATTTCGACTTTGTCAACGGACCGGAAAGAGGTGCGGTATAACCGGGACCCTGCAATCGGGACGAAACACCGAAACCGTATTTCGTAACCGTGCCGGAAACGGCAGATATACGACTGGGATCTGGCTAATTTGATATAAAACAGGAAAATTAGCCGGGAACCGCACGAAAAATGACAACCGTATGCGAACATCGCACCCGGGTGCAGGCACTGGCGGGAACTAAGCAGGATCCGGAGGCCGGATCGGATTTTGGAATACTGCTTCCAGGAATTGACCGAAATTTGACGGGATCCTGCTGTTTCCTGTCGTACATCTTTGACCTGAGTATAAAAAAATATAAGAAAAAAATAGTTCAATTCTGTTTAAGCAAACGAATCACATATGTATAATAACTCTGATTGATTTACACACAAAAAATTTTATATGTACACTTGATTGCAGTATTCCTAATTAAATGAAGCTTGGTATACAATCCATATTAAAAATCTTCGTCATTTTCCTTTTCATTGTCTGAGTATAAATCTTCGATGTCATCAAATGTTTCATCCGTTCGTTTCGATAATCCTTCATGTAAATTGCTCGATAGGTTTTGATTTTATTTATTCGTTGATAAAAGTGGTGAGTTTTTGTTCTTAATGCTTCCTCGAATATGACGACATTTCAACGAAATCGTACTTGAGAACATTGATTGGCTTATATTTGCAGGAACATATGCACATTT